CGTGTCACCTTCTGCTATTACATTTCCTTTTGCATCCAAAGCTCCGGTGGCTGTCTTTTCTTCCTTTCGTTGGTCATCAACCAATGCCTTCTCTTCATCGGCTTTCGATTCTTGTTCTTTCTTTTCTAATGATGATGTTACAAAGCGTAGTCCATGAAATCTCAGGAGGTTCTTAATCTGTACAATGAAATGAAAAAACCAAATCAATTAGATATATTCTAATCTCAACACAACAATTCCTATCATCCAGGAATCCACCAGTTGAACTGACAAAGTAACTTCCACAAAATCCCGAAGGAACATAACAAATCAAGAAGCAGAACCACCCAAATTGCAACCAGATCAAGTTGCATTCTTCACGATAACTACATATGGATCTAAACATTACTTATTCGAACTAGCAATAGATTTTCAGAGTTGTATCAAGATTCACAGAAAGGTTCAAGAAATTATAATAAACAAACAAAAGTAGCCAATTCACAAGAAAGAATCAACATTGAACAAAAAAGAAAAATCAGACATAATGCTGATAATCTTCATCCCATTTCACCTTTTCCTTTTTCTTTCAAATTAAGTAATCAATAAGTTACATTAATGAAAGCATACCTTGATATCAAGATTCAGAAAGAGTTTCAAGAAATTGTACTAATCAAGCAAAAAGGGACAATTCACAAGAAATAATCAACATTAATCCCCAAAACAATCACACATCAAGCAGATAATCTTCATCCCGTTTCAATTTTTCCTTTCATAATCGATTATTCGAAATTAAGTAATCAATAAGTTGAATTAATGAAAGAATACCTTGATCTGAGGTATGGAATAAGCTAAGGCTCCCAAATAAGACATTTGAGCATATAATCTGGCTTCTGCTAAGGGCACCTTCTTAAGAAGTTCTGAAAATGATTCTCTATTGAATTCTATCTTTTCAACATCATCTTCATCAATTGTACACACATCACAATCTTCATTTTCGTTGCAAAACTCCCCTTTCTCTTCATCATTTGTATTTAGCCCCCCATTTTTATCCTCATCTTCCAATTTCATCCCCTAATCTTCAACCAAAATACTATCTTTTTCGCCTTCTTTTCGTAGGGACCTCACTTGCAATATCTTTAACACCCAATTCCCATTTTATCCTTCCGATTCTCTTTCTTCATTTCTATTCTCTTCTCTTTCCTCTTCCAAAACGCCGTCGTCCACCTTCATTGCCAAGTTGCACCGATAACATCCATTTTTGAAAGAGCGAAGTATTTTGTGTCTGTGGGATTTCTTTGTTCTCGATCAAACTTATATAAATTTATACAACCGTTTGCGTCTCTCTCTCTCTCTATATATATACACACACACACGTGCGCGTATATAGCTATACCGGTTGGTAGGATGTTAACCTGCAATACAATCTTTGAATTTTGATTTAACTTGTTTGCTAAAAGTTGAACTCCAATCTTGAGGCCCCATAATCCCATCCTTGAAATATCGTCAGGGAAGTAAATTACGAGATTTACTCAAGTAGGTTAGGAAACAAAAGTTTGCTCGTACACTAATGCCTACAAAGAGTTCAATTCCATATCATAAGAATCGAACCTTCACACTACGACTACCAACAAGACTGAGACTACCTCACTCCTATCCTTTGCACCACTGAATTATGCCCCGAGGGCTTGTTTGTTGAATATATGGAAGTTGGTGAAATGTTTTCTTCTACGTTGTCAACTAAAAAAATAGTGTGACCTTGATGTCCTCGACTTTATTCAGACAGGCTATTCCTCTCTCTTCCAAAAGACGAGACTTTTAGGCCAACCTAAATTCAAGATCCCTTTTTTGAGTTTTTCGTGGAACATGAAATATATCAGTAAAATTGTTACAATAAATCAAACGATTTATCCAATTGTCAAAAATAGTATATGATACTGACATTCCTTACTAACTCGATCACCATATTATCCCAAGGAGCACGCTAACCTTTTTACGATATCAGGTCATGAATGCTCGATCATGTATCCCGACGACCAATCTTAGATGAACTTGCAATTCCACATATGGAGTGCCCGAGCATATACTCACCCCCGGGGTATTATACTCGAGCACTCCCTGTCTGGTTGCTTTAACATGTTACGATACTTGTCCTCGAGCATAAATAGTCCTCAAGTATATGCTCTCCTCATAACCTACGATTGTTGACCCTTTAGAATTCCTATGCAATTAGGACTCTAACTCAACCATATACTTGACTCCCACAAGGATTCTATCCCACACATAATTATGGCATTGGTCCAATTCCTTCGTCTAATAGGACTCCGTTGGATAGAGATACCCAATTAGTTGAGTCCCACTAGGAGAATGTCGCTTACTACTATAAATACAGAATCTTGAACCATTATTCAGGTACGTTCTCAGTATTTCTCCAGTTTATAGCCTCATGCATATAATTCCCTTTCTGACTTAAACATCGGAGGGGCGATGAGATCATACCTCATTGCCTTTGTTTCAGGTACTAGAAGACTAAGATCGTGCTCAATCAAAATCGTTAGGCTCGGGAAATCAACAGGTACGATTTTTGGTAGCATCATTGGTGCCGTCTGTGGGAAACGCTACTAAAAGTCATGGTTAACACACGATCAGGTCTTTCTCCCGCAAGCTCATTTGCTCCCATCCCTCATCCTACCGAAGATCAACCGGTTCCTCATGAAGAATCCTCATGAGTGCCCGCACATCTGCCAGCGGTCATCACAACTGAAGCCTTTGAAGAGCTTCGTCAGCAGGTGGCCACGCTCATGCAACTGTTAAGTCAAAGAAATTCACATCCGTCGCAAGCACAGGCAGAGCATGGCGATTTTATGACTGATGTTCGAGTACGACCACCAAACCACGCAACTGGCGGAGTAGGAACCTCGGGTATTTACAATATGGCCTCGAGCTCGAGATTGGTCGCCATAAATTTCGGTGAAATTGCCCGGATCATTCAAGAAGGAATTATAGCTGGCCTCCAATGGAATACTGGGGGGCTAATAGGTTTCACCCCTAACATGCCAGAGATATTGTCATATCCCTTGCCCGACAGTTTCTGCCCTCACCTATGCCATAAGGCGCGAGGCCCTCAAAATGTCTTTATCAAAGACCCCACCACAGACAGTGATTGAGCTTTATAACTGAGCTGAAAAGTACATCAATATGGAGGAAATGTTGAATTTAAGGAGAGCTGGTCCCCCTCATGAAAAGGTCGAAAACAAGAGGCAGCATGATCCCATTCCCCGGCATGAGATTCCTCGGGATAAGCGCAAGAATAAGTCGCCGTCAGCACCTTTCACTTGGTTGAACACCTCTAAGATAAACATCTTAATGGAGATTAAGGATATGAAAGAATTAAAGTAGCCTTCAAGGATAAAGTCGCCCCCTGACACAAGAGATAGGAGCAAGTATTGTGAATTTCATCGGGATCATGGGCATACCATGGAGGATTGTCAAGCTTTGTAGCGGGAAATCGAAGCTCTCATTAAAAGAGGATTCTTAAGGAATTACATTGGTCATGATAAACGCCCGAGGAATGATCGTGACAATCGGAAAGAGCCTAGAATCGGAAGCCGTGCTTAACCCACTGTCAGGACAATTAATATTATCGTCGGGGGCATAGCATCTGGAGGAGACACAAATAGTGGGCGAAAGCAGTATGCCCGCCAACATGCTCATACCCCAAAGGAATCCCGTGATGAAGTCAAAGACATCACTTTTGGGGCAAGAGATTTGGAAGGAATATCATATTCTCATGATGATGCCTTAGTCGTCTCTGTGGTTGTGGCTAACTTCGAAGTAAAGAGGATACTGGTTGATAATGGGAGTACAGCAAATATGCTCTTACAGGAGGCTTTCGCCAAAATGGGGATCTCTCCCAAATAGCTCAAAGCAGTAAAAACTCCTCTACAAGGATTTGGTGGTGGAGTCACTATCCTTGAGGGAATCGTCGAGCTCCCGCTTACATTAGGATCTGGTATTACACAAGTAACGAAGATCACACCATTCCAAGTAGTTAATACCCCAATGGCCTACGACATCATCCTGAGAAGACCCCTATTGAACAAGATCCAGGCTATTGTATTAACTTTCCATCTTGCCATGAAGTTCCCCTCATGTCATGGCATCGGAGTAGTTCGAGGAGACCAAACAACTGCCAGACAGTGCTATGTTACTAGCTTCCGAGGAATGAATACAGACGTCATGCAACTTTCAGGCCTCGAGCTCGAACTCGACCTCGAGCTAAGGGATAGATTGGCCCCGTTGAGGAATTGGAAGTGGTCAAGCTCGAGTACGAAAAAGCAGTAACTATTGGTCGGGATCTCAAAGCCAACCTACGGGAGAAAGTCATCAATTGTCTGTCCCGTAACATTGATGTTTTTGTATGGAAGGTGGAGGATATGCGCTGTCCATAAACTCAATATCAGCCCCAGGGCCAAACCTGTTTAGCAAAGGAAGAGACAGTTTGCGCCAGAAAGACGTGTGGTCATTCAGGAAAAGGTCGGCAAATTGGTGAGAGCGGGTTTCATAAGGGAAGTCCAATACCCCGATTGACTCGCTAATGTTGTTTTTGTGAAAAAGGCCAGTGGTAAATGGAGGGTCTGCATCGACTTCACATATCTTAATAAGGTGTGCCCAAAAGACAGCTACCCATTACCCAGGATTGACAATCTTGTGGATAACACATCCGGACATAAGCTGTACAGCTTTTTAGATGCATTCTCAGGGTATCATCAGATCCTAATGGACGAAGAAGACTAAGAGAAGACTTCATTCATGGCTGATTCAGCCATTATTACTATAGGGTGATGCCATTTGGGTTGAAAAACGCTGGGGCGACATATCAGAGGCTCATCAACAAAGTTTTCACTGATCTGATAGGAAAGAACATCGAGGCCTATGTGGGTGACATGGTTGTAAAGAGTAAGAAGGTTGAGCAACACATATTCGACCTAGAGGAGGTGTTCGTCACCCTATGAAAATCTAAGATGAAGCTCAATCCAGAGAAGTGTGTATTCGGCGTAGCTTCAGGGAAGTTTCTGGGTTTCACGATCACTCATAGGGGGATTGAGGCCAACCCCGATAAGATTCAGGCTTTGGCAGCAATGGAATCACCAAGGACCAAGAAAGAAGTTCAAAAGTTAATGGGCAAGGTAGCCGCCTTAAACAGATTCATGTTCCGAGCAGCAGACAGGTGATTCCCCTTCTTCAAAGCCCTCAGGGGTAATCATTGTTTTGAATGGAATTAGGAGTGTGAGAAGGCTTTTTAGGAGCTCAAGCAGACATTGGAATCTCCTCATATCCTCACCAAACCCGAGCCCGGGGATACTTTGTATATGTATTTAGCTGTGTCTCAGAATGCAGTAAGTGGTGTCTTCGTGAAAGAGGTTAACAGGGCTCAACAACCCATTTATTACGTAAGCAAAGTCCTACTTGATGCAAAAACAAGATACACTTTGGCAGAACAACTTGCCCTTGCACTGATAGTGGCAGCACGAAAGCTTTGCCAATATTTTCAGTCACATCCTATTGTAGTGCTCACCAATCAGCCTCTAAAACACTCTTTAGAAACTAGATGTCTCAGAAAGATTACTGAAGTGGGTAATTGAACTCAAAGAATTGGATATAGAGTTCAAGCCCCGACCATCTATCATAGCTCAGGCCTTAGCTGACTTTATTGTAGAACTCACCCCAAGGCCTCGGGGGCCAGATGGTAGCTCGAGCTCTTCCACAGGTGTGTGAAAAATTTTCGTAGATGGAGCATCAAACTCCTCGGGCTTGGGTGCAAGGGTCATCATCATAAGCCTGGACACGCTCATAGACATTCAGTGTGCACTCAAGTGCGAATTTGAGGCAACCAATAATGAAGCAGAGTATGAGGCCGTCATCATAGCCATGAAACTTGCCATCAATCTCGAGCTTAAAAACATCAAAATTTACAGTGATTCCCACTTGGTGGTTGGACAAATTGAAGGGACGTTCGATAGGAAGAACGAGAAGATGAGCTTATACTGCTTGAAAGTGCATGATCTCCAGAGAAAGTTCAAGAGTTGTGAAATTGTGAAAATTACTCGGGCTGAGAATTGTAAAGCCGATGCCTTGTCAAGATTGGTGTTCATGGGGATAGATGAGCTTGACAGGACAGTTCACGTTAGAATTGTAACTGAGCCACGCATCAATCAGACCGTAGGCATCATGGATATTGATAATGAGCCATCGTGGATGGATTCAATAGTGGACTTCATAAAACATGGCAATCTTTCAGAAGATCCTCGAGCAGCAAGAAGCATCTGGTCCAAAGCTTCAAGGTATTGCATGATTGAAGGAGTTTTATTTCGCAGGAGCCTCACACTTCCATACCTCAGATGCCTTAGGCCTTCCGAATCATCCCCAGCCCTAGAAGAAGTTCATGAATGAATATGTGAGAACCATCAAGGAGCTCAGGCATTAGCCTTCAAGCTCATAAGGTATGGATATTATTGGCCTACCATGAAGAAAGATGCCCAGGAATATGTCAAGAAGTGTGACAAGTGCCAGAGATTTGGCAATGTAATCCACTCTCCCACAGATGACCTCACTAGCATTAGTTGCATGACCCCGTTTGAGCAATTGAAGTTTGTTGCTGTGGCTGTAGAGTATTTCACTAAATAGGTGGAGGTCGAGCCTTTAGCAACAATTTCAGAGCCTAAGTTAAGAAGTTTCATTTGAAGATACATCATATGTAGGTTCGTGATACCGAAAGTCCTCATAACTGATAATAGTAGGCAGTTTGACAATGCACAATTTAAAAACTTCTGTTCCAACCTAGGGGTTGATCATCGTTTGACATCGGTTTCCCATCCTCAAAGTAATAGCCTTGCCGAAGTGACCAATCAGATTATATTGCAAGACCTCCGTACAAGGATCGGGGATGCAAGAGGTTCCTGGTCTGACGAGTTACCTTCCATACTTTGGACATATAGAACGTCCCACAAAACTGCTACGGGGGAAACTCCCTTCATGTTGGCTTTCGGTATTGAGGCCACCATCCCTGTTCAAGTCAAGTTGCCCAGCCAAAGAAGGCTTGAGCCTGAAGGCTCAGGACACACCACTGAACACCTCGACCTCTTAGAAGAAGTTCGTGATCATGCAGCTTTAAGAATTGTCTCTTACCAAGAAAAAACAGCAAAGTATTTCAATAAAAAAGTGAGGACGCGGAGATTCAGAGCCGGGGACCTTGTGTTAAGAAAGGCCGAAGCAGCAGGTCATGCTCTAGGCAAGCTAGGACCAGTTTGGGAAGGACCCTTTGAAATCATACGACAGCTTCAAGGAGGTATATACAATTTAAAGGATACATCGGGAAGACCACTTCCAAGACAATGGAACGTCGAGAATTTAAAAATATATTACAAGTAACTTATTCTTCTAGTTTTCAATACTCAGGCCTGCGCGTCAAGGTTCACGTTTTCAGTTCACAGGCCTGCGTGCCAAGTTTTATTTTTCGGTAGTCAGGCCTGCGTGCCAAGTATATTTTTAAAGTATAATAAGAATTAAGCTATTCATCAAAATCTGATTTAGCTACTAAAAGCCTTGCCCCGTGCAAGCAATCAAAAAGTCTTGCCCCGCGCAAGCAACTCAAGTCTTGTCCCGAGCAAGCAATCAAAAATCTTTGCCATGCGCAAGCAACTCAAGCTTTGCCCCGAGCAAGCAATCAAAAAGCCTTGCCCCGGGCAAGCAATCAAAAAGCCTTACCACAAGCAAACACATAGAGATTGTTATCAGGACAAACAATACAAGTAAAGTTCTCGAGCACACAGTGCCCGATCAACGATGTGATAGATCTTATAAAAAGGCCCATCCTTGTCCTCGAGAATCACGCTATAGGTCGAGACAATTACATTGTCATTTAGTCCTCGAGATAATCCCCCAATTAATGGACGACCATAAGATCAAGTTATTACTTTTGTTTGAAACTTTTACGAAATTAAGTCCTTGAGATAACTTGTATACTATGCTCGAGCTCAACACAATTTCGAAAATGATTGTGAAATTCAGTCCTCGAGAGAGTCCTGTTGGCCAAGCATAACAAAAATAAATCTTTGTCGTCGGTATATTCACTTAGACGTCAAGGTTAAAACTTCATTTAGGCGTCGAGATATCAATCCATCTTAGGCGTCGAGCTGCTTAATACATCTCAGGCGTCGAGTTATTTAATTAATCTAAGCGTCAAGATATCAATTCGTCTAGGCGTCGAGATATCAACTCGTCTAGGTGTCGAGTTATTAAGTCATCTTAGGCATCGAGTTATGGATTCTCTTAAAGTCGAGCTAGGTCACATCATTTAGTATAGTTCTCAAATAAACTTAAAGCTCGAGCAAACATAATCGAAATAACATAGCAAGAAACGCAAGTTAAGCTCCAAAAGAACAATTTGATTTCAAAAATTGATTAATCGGTACAAGAGCCAAGAGTATCAAAAAACAAAAAGAAAACAGAAACTAATCTAGGTCCTCGGCTCCTTTTCCCGAGGTCGGGCTTCCTTGCTTTTCCGCCACGTCCTCGCCGTCAATATGGATCTCTTGGTCCTCGACGGTTTCCTCGGACTCTGAAAGCTCGAGGTCTTCAGCAACCTCAGGGACGTTCTTTAAATCCTCGAGCTTTGCATCAGGCTTCGATCGTAAAAATGCCCGATCCTCCTTCTAAGCGTGGAAGTACGAGCCCATGGCGTACTCTCCCTTCAGCCCACTGAACTCTTCGGATGTTTTGAAACCTTCGATCACAATACCTCGAGCCTTAGTTAGGCGTGTTTCAAAATCCCTTTTCAAACGCTCAATCTCGACCTTTAAATCCTCGGCCTTGCCCTTGGCCGCTCCAGCCTCTTCCCGGGCTTTCTGAAGGTCGCTCTTTGCGTTATCGCGCTCCTTCTGGAGAAGGAAGCGCTCAGCCTCCATGTCATCTATCCTCTTCTCATGTGCTTGAGAAGTATCCTCGAGCTCAACAGTTTTTTGTGCCTCGTCTTTCCCCTTCAGAGAGAGGCCTTGGGCAATACTCAGAGTCTGCAATATATAAAATCCAAGCTTAACGGTCACGTCATATAAACCCATAAATTATACCAAGTAAGTTGAGCGAGCTTACCTTTAGCGTAAGGGATTCAAGAGCTTTCATGCCCTCGTCGAAGTTGAGGTCCTTTCGATATTTGTCCACGATGCTCAACATCAGAGGACACCAATCAAGATCTCAATTTTGGAATGAAAGCACAGGAGGGACCTCATCCTCGAGGTTAACAACCTCGGGGGTACTCCTTGACTGAGGACGTGATCGGCGAGTGGCAATTGGAGTTTCATGCTCATGAATGATCGGGGATTGTCTTCAGCCAGAGGTCTCCCCAGGACCACTCCTAACAGTTTCAGGCCCTGAATCTCGAGGCCTCTTCTTCTCCTTTTTCTAACCTGGGGCTCGAACTTGAGGGGCCCTCGACTTCTTGTTCACGGCTTGTCGATGAGCTGAAGGATCGAAAATCATCTCCGAAAAGATAAGTAATTAGTGTGAGCATAATTAGCAAAGACAGATCAACAAGAAAAAGGTGAAAGTATGATCCCTACCCTTAGCACCTCTCACATCTGCAAGATCGAGAATATCATCCCCCAAAATGTCATCTATATCATAAATAAGAGGCTCGAGGTTCTCGAACATCACCCTATCCCTTTCTAAAGACTTGAAATAGGCATGCCCTTCACAAAACCTGGCCGTGTTGGGCAAAACCCACCTAGGACTAAATGGGAAGTCAGAATCCTGAGATATGACATAAAACCACTTTTCTTTCCACCCCTTTAATGAACTTGGCATCCTCGGTATCCTGAAACCTCCTCGAGTTGAAAGGTAGGCAAAACATGTATATTGAGGCAGCTGTTTCAAATCAAAGACCATCCTATAAAGGTCGACGTATGGGTCAATACCTAAGTACCTACAAGCTATAAAAAAGTAAGTAAGCATCCTCCCTTCATTTGGCACGAGCTGACCAGAGCTCATGTTGTGCTTGACCAGTAAGGCCACAAAGAAGGGGTGCAGGGGCCATCTAAATCCATCCTTTAGCGAGTCTCTAAAAACTACAAACTCTCCATCTCGAGCAATGACCATCCTATCCTCACCCCCTGGCGTTCTAATGTCACATTTAGGCATGAGCCTATGCTATGCTCCTTAAATTTACAGGGAAGGTCGGGGTACCTAAGAGGCATCGGGATACCTTATGTCCGAGGATGTACATTAATTGGCACGGCCATGGGTATGATCGAGCGCTCCCTGTCCTCGGGGGTACTCCTCGAGGAAGAGGACGAAGACTCACTACTACTAGACATCCTGACCTAGGCAAAAAAGTGTCTATAGAATAACTTAAGGTCTCGAGGTCTTACCTTAAAGTCGACGCCTAAAAAACCCACCAAAAGTTCTGATCCTGACGATTAGCGGGAGAAGTTTACTGAGAGTGAAAAGTGAAAAATGAAAAGAGAACTTGGTATTTATAGGCAACAGGAGTAGGTAGTCCAAAAGTCACTACCCCGATCGTCATATCTGGCCACGTGTCTTACATCCAACCCATACCATTTTTACTGTCTTTTTTCATTTAGGGCTTACCTCAGTACACATTAGCCCTTCTGAACACCTGGCTTCAAGAACTCCCTCGAGCTCATGCACCCGAGCTTTTGCCTTCAAGCCTCTTTGCATCATATCCTTGAGTGAAGGCTTTGAGCATATGTACACGGGGGCCAATGATACTGACATTACCTGCTAACCCGATCACCATATTATCCCTAGGAGTACGCTAACCTTTTTACGATATCAGGTCATGAATGCTCAATCATGTATCCTGATGAACAATCTTAGATGAACTTGGAATTCCACATATGGAGTGCCCGAGCATAGACTCACCCCCGGGGTATTATACTTGAGCACTCCCTGTCTGGCTGCTTTAACATGTTATGATAATTGTCCTCGAGCATAAATAGTTCTCGAGTATATGCTCTCCTCTTAACCTACGATTGTTGACCCTTTAGAATTCCTATTCAATTAGGACTCTAACTCAACCATATACTTGACTCCCGCAAGGATTCTATCCCACACATAATTATGGCATTGGTCCAGTTCCTTCGCCTAAAAGGACTCCGTTGGATAAAGATACCCAATTAGTTGAGTCCCACTAGGAAAATGTCACTCACTACTATAAATACAGAACCTTAAGCTATTATTCAGGTACGTTCTCATTATTTCTCCAGTTTATAGTCTCACGCATATAATTTCCTTTTCGACTTAAGTATCAAAAGGGGCGACGAGAACATACCTAGTTGCCTTTGTTTCAAGTACCAGAAGATTACGATCGTGCTCAATCAAAATCATCAGGCTTAGGAAATCAACAGGTACGATTTTTAGTAGCATCAGTATATATG